TCCCCAGCACTATGTCATGCCATATAGCAGTTGTTCAATAAATATTTATTTAAAGAACGAAGTGGCTATTTTAAAGATTGTTGTATTTTCACCTTTTATTTTCCTGTTTTTATTGTCATTATGTTGCAGATTTGGTGGGTGAGTGAGGTAAATGTGAAGAGAAAAATTAAAATTAGTAATTTTTTAACTAAAGTTAGTAGGACCACCTTTTCCAAATAGAAACCAAGGGTTTAAAAAAAAATTGAACACAAGGATTATGCAGGTAAGTCCAGGGCAATGGTGCTGTTCTGACTCAAAAGACTGCCATTCTGATCATGTCCATGAATCAGCAAGCACCGTTTGCCCATCCAACAAGGCGTAGGACCCCCTGCAAGGCTGCAGCTGGCCAATCAGCAGGCACTTTTACAGCCTATGGCTCAGCCACACTCGGGTGACAAACATAAAGGATACCATGAGCTTACTTCTCAAAAAGCAAAATACTATCTTGGCATATTCAGAGCATCAGAGAATCTACAGCTCTCTTTTCTGTAACTCATGCTCATCCATTATATACCACCTTCGACATCATAACGTTGGACCTGCCTAAGTCTGGATTTGTGCACCTCACGTTCCATAGCCCAGTACCTCCCTGGTCCCAGGATTCATCACAATATGCCAAGACGTCTGTTTAAACTCTGTGGGTGCCCTCAGCAACTGTTCCCACCTTCTTTGCAGCTGATGCCAGTTTCCCAAAATGGAGTGAAGGAAGGAGGAAAGGGAATGAGGACAAGAAAAACAGGCAGTAAAGGATGGAGGGGAAACCCTTTAGTCAACTACAGAGCAAAGGGATGTTCTGAGGATGACTTCCCTCTGAAAGAGCAGTTACAGTTCTACTATTCTTTGCTAACAAGAAGGAAAAGCCTTCTGATTAGTAGTAAAAAAACAAATCTCACCCTGCTGTTATGTACCAACCCTGTGCATGTGCACATGCATATGCTAGAAGCCAGGGTAATGGCCAGGTGGAGCCCATAGAGTGTCTTCCAACATCCCACAAAATGATTAGGAAAAAGCTTGCCTTAAGTGTTTTTAAAAATAAGTTTCTCCAAGCTGGGCCATGAGCTTTATCAATAATTTTTGCCCTTGCCCTGTGTAAGGAGGGCAGAACCAGTTGTTCAACTCTGGATGTTATTATACAATTTAACTCCTTAGCTCCTGGTGTTAAATTTTCCTGGCTGTCAGCACATATCAATGTAAATCATAACCAAAGCCACAAACATAATTAAAAGGCCCTTCCAAGGGGGGAGGGGCAAGAGAACAAAAGCCCGTTCCAAGTATATACCTTGCCAACCGCTTTTCAGATACCCAGTAAGTCTACTGATTTTTTAGTGGAAATTAAAATTTTTTAAATGTTTTCCAGAATATAGGCTGGAATATACTTGGAGAACAAAGAGAATTCTAAGGAAGAATATTTTCTTGCACTTTTAGGCAAAATAGCTAAGAAGCCTCCCAATAATTGTCTGACCTACGAACCAGATGTCTGTCTAGCAACCTGACAGCTGGTGGAGGACACAGCAAAAAGGAAAAAACACATTAAGAATACTTATTTTCACTTTCTTCCCAAAGAAAATTATAGAAGTGCCTACTTCTTATTTCTTCATGTTCTTTTCTGGGGAAGAAAAGGCCATATCAAAAAATATTTCCTAAAAACCTAAGGGCAACCACAGAGGCATGCTGCGAGTAAAATGCATTCATACATATATTTAAATCACACTCTTAAGGCACTGTTTACACATTTTTGACCAAACTCTCTGTGGCCAAGGTCATTCTACAAACCTGAATCCTACATTCTACAAACCTGAATTCTGAACTGTGTACTAAAGGAGGTAGAGACAATTTATTGTTATAATTCCTTCCCATTCCACTTTTAAGAATAAAACATCAACTTAAAAATGCAAAATGCCTATGGATGCATGTGGGTATTCTATTAGTGTGTAGACCACATGGACACACACTTGAGAGGAACTTGGTGGCTAATACATCTTTTCCATCCATCTGGCATATTCCCCGCCCCCACCACTTCATCACCCTTTCCTGCAAGTGACCACGCACAGTAGATCTAAATTTGGCACATTTCAAGGTCAAGTGATGCAGCAAACAGAATTTGACCTCGAACAATATGCCTTTGTCCATTCACCCATCCTCGTAAATGTGCACACACTCCACATTTTGCTTGCTGCAAGTTCATAAATCTTCATCCCAGATTACTTATTTCTTCATCAAATACTTACAGAAAAGAAAAGACATCTGGATGTGTTTGCTCCTCCCCTCCAGCCCCCACACCTCCCCAACCCTTCAATACATACACACAGCTGTAAGAGCAAGGAGAGTGTTTTTAAAATTCCATTGGTTCATGTAGGCACAGAATCTGAAGCAGCTCCAAAATGGACATCAAGTAAAAAAATACCAGTTTTCAAAAGTCTGTAATTATGTATTTACACAAATTACATAATCCTGTATGTATTTACATACAATTACAGATTATCAAGTAAATAACACAATGTTGTAGTGTTAATGAGATGAAATAGTATGAAAACACCATCAACGGAAGCCATTCATTTATCTACAAAACAGGACCTGGCAGAGCAGGTTCCCCAACACTGACCTGGCATGTCCTTCAGCACTCTTTGAGGACATTTGCATGACAGATGGAAAGGTGGTTCAGTCCATGCCGGGTAAGTCTTTTGACTGTGGTGCAAGTGTTGGCACCAACAAAATAGTGGTTTGGCTATCTGAGCATCTGTTTATGAAACTGGAACCACCCATTCCACTATGGCTCAGGGCTGCCATCCAAAAGGCTTTGGGTCTCTTACTACAGGAACCGGATGCAATCCTATAAACTAGAGATGACCCTACTGCCCAATAGGACAATGCCCACAACAAAACCCTGAGCCATCTACTCTCCCAGGAGGCCTATTTACATAAATTGCATAAGTCAATATTTATTTATTTACAGACCATTACAGTTTATTTTATCAATTGCCAAAAGCATATAACATTTTGCTTTTCTTTTTAAAAAAAAAAAAAGGTACCAAAGCAAAATAACTCCAAAAGTAGACATTAAAGTAGCATTTTCTAGGAATGCATGGAGATTTGAGTCTTTTTCACAATTCTTTTTCCCTCTTTTAGACCAATTATCTGGAGTCTCGTGCTACTTTAAGATTACTTTTGGCTGTCTTCTAAAATCAATTTCTTCAGTGCTAAATATTATACCTATGGCATCCTAGAAACTTGATTCTTCCCTGTGGTCAAATGTTTAATTTTTTTAGCAAAGAAAAAAAAATTAAATGTCTTTTGGAAAAACTAAAGCCTGAAGATGTGCACATTTTAGCAGCAGCAAAGGGTTAAATAATAAATAAGAACAGTACTTCTTAGAATTAAATGCAGTTCTGTTTAGAAAGTAAAAGGGGGAAAAAATCCCAAGAAAATAAATGAAGAGGACATTCTGATCCTTATCATAAATCGACTATTTTACAGTGCTTCTGTTCCCTCCCTCCAAGACAATTCTCAATCCCAAATATTAGACTTAGCTTCTCCTTAATGCACATCAGCAGGAGTGCATTACCCCATACTCCAGCTTGGACCATAGAAGGCTACGTGTATTTGCTCACGACAGTAAATCATGCGCTTCTCGTTCATAACAGCTTTAACTTGCCAGTGACATGCTTTTATTTTTCATAGAGAATGTGCATCCGAGCAAAACAAAATCAGAATATTAAATTTTAAAATTAGTTACATAAATCCCAACACATTTTTTTAACTGTCACTTTCAATTTCCCAATGTAACTGGCTAGAAAGTGTTGTGTGTGGATGAGAATTTGTTATAAATTCCTTTTTTTTTAAATATTGCTTTAAGAATTTGGCTCTTTTCACCTTAGTATATAGTAAGAAATAGTCTTCCTTGCCCAAGGGCAAGTTCCAAAATTATTGCTACCAAAGAAATACATAGTCTTATGCTTTTCAGAATAAAATGTTATAAAAGCCTTGTAAAAGATATTCTATATAGTAACCTCCCCTCTAAAAAAATTGGGTGCTTGTGAAAACCATTTTTAAAAACAAAATAGTCAATGAGTATAATACTTTCCCCCTCATTGTCATTATTGATAAAGATTTATTGTTTTCATGTTGCAAGTTTTACTTGAAGGGGTGCTATTACCATGTAATTATGACATTCACACCGAAAGCAATTCTCTAAAAAAGATGTTACAATGACCCCTATGGTACGTGTATCATTTCATATTTGATAGCCAAGTGCACAAATAAAAACTTACAAGAATGATCCTGTTAATCTGACTCTTATTTCTTAAAAAAAAGTCTGAGCTATGTACGCTTCTTTATTTTTTTTCATTCCTTGCTTAAGAATTCTAAATCAGTACAATGTTTGATATTAGTCCTGTTGTTCTGGAGGTGGGCTAAAATAAAAAGCATAGTTATTGTTTAGCTTTGGTATATTTTGCAATAGACTTAAACAAGTAAGACATATACCAACCCTCATATTTTCCAACCATGAAGTTACAGTGATGGAATTACTGATGAAAGAGGAAAATTACAGACACAGAATAAAAGGTTGAGACCCAGTTTATCTTTAATCCTCTGGGATAAGCTATGAAACAAGCAGTCTGAAGAGTGAATACTCAGTGTCATGAGCGATGTGCATAAGTTTACAATAATACGGGCACAAAATAGATTGTCGCCTTTAGTACATTAGGGTCATTAGAATTTCTCATATCCATGCACCGTTATACCTACTTGCATGAATTACCACAGGTTCATAGCGGACTTTGCCATTTAATGCTTACAGAGCCTAAAGCTTCCAAAATGCCTATCTGGCCTGTACATATTTCATTAAAAATAAACTCTATATAATAAATAAATATATAAAATAAATAAAATGTTGCCTTTGGAATTTCTATAAATAAATTTAACTTTTTTTCTTTTTTTTTTCTTTTTTTCGCCTTTTTTTCTTTCTTTTTTCTCTTTTTTTTTCTTTTTTTCTTTTTTTTCCTTTTTTCTTTTTTAACTAAGAGGTCTTTGCTTTAAGTTCACTGGGATGATACCAGTGAGAATTAACTGAAAAAGTCTTTTAAGTAAGACTGCACCCTCCATGCCTTTGAAAATGCAGCGTACCCTTGCGCAGGCCACCAGCCAAAAATCCTGATGAGTCGAAGTATGGCAGCTGTGCTGATATAAGATGAAGTACAACTGATCAAAATTTAAAAGCGTGTCTATTTCCCAGCATGCATCAGGCCGTTGTCCTCTTTGCTTTCTGACTCTCCAATTTCTCCTGCTATTCACCCACTCACACACTCACACCCCTCTCATTCAGTCTCTCTCCCCTTATTTCACAATAAATCAAGCAAGTGGCCCTAGGCAGCCCTCCAGGAGGATCAGCCTTTAAGTGCAGAACAAAATCAGCATGTTCCCATCCAAGCTTCCATCATACATTATGCATGCGACAAAGTTTGGCAACAGTGGAGCTGAGGTGATGACACAGCTAATCAATAAGAACCCACCGCATGAAACCATTTATAGTGGTTACTTTTTTAAGGGCTCAAGTGAAGAAATTGTCTTTGTCAACTTTGGCTTAGAATATCCTTATATAGTTCAGGTACTTTGTCAGGGTCCACTGGTCTAGGTAAAAAATGTGTGAATTTCTGGTGCCGTTTAGTCCTGGTCCCTTCTCTTGGAGTCCCGTCTTTATTTAATGCAACATAGTATCGCCTTCCAGTGTCCACGTGTTTATATAGATTCGATGAGTACGTGTTATACCAATTTTCTTCAAACTGTTCTCTGAATACACACTCTTGGGTTAGTTTTTCCTGTTAAAAAATAAAAAGAAAATAAATACATTGCACGATTAGCTACTTTCTATATTAAAAGCAATATTCCATTTTGCACAAAGCAAGTTTGAGTATCTCTTATCCAAAATGCTTGGAAACCAGTAGTGTTTGGGATTTTTTATTTTCTTAGATTTTGGAATGTTTGCATATATTTAATGAGATATCTTGCATGTGGGATCCAAGTCTAAATACAAAATTCATGTATGCTTCAAATACACATGATACACATAGCCTAGTGATAATTTTATACAATATCTTTGTGAAAAAAAAAAGTTTCCTGGTATGGAATTTTCCACTTGTGGTGTTAGGTGGTTGCCCAAAAAATTTTAAATTTGGGAGCACTTCAGATTTTGAATTTCCAGATTAAGGATGCTCAACCTGTACCCTGATGAGAAAATACTGATTTCTAACTCGTTTAACCACTTCAATGCACTTTGCATAAACTGCTTAACTCTATCAATTTAATGACATTCTAAATTCTTATTCATAATGACTAAAGCAGAAAAGATTCTAAATATCTTCTAGTGAAACTTTTCTTCAGGCCAATTATTACACACAAAGTACAACTAAAATTCTGGGTCATTCCCATTTTTACTATAGCAATTATATGGTGACCACCTTTGCACCTTTGCACTTAAATTTAGATAGAAGAGCCTCCTAACTTTAAAAAAAAAAAAAAAAAAAAAAAAAAAAAAAAACATGCTCAGGCATACAGATGCCCCAAGGAAAGCTATACTTATTCCTACATTTCCAAAGCAAAAAAATAAATTTAAAAAAATGTTCCCTGTTTTCTTAAATATCTTGCATTTCCCTCCTCCTGAGCTATATGAAAGCCAGGGTCCCAATTTACTCCACATCCTGGGACTCCTCCAGCCACATCACTCATGGGCAGTAATGACCAGAAATAATATACATATCACATCCCAAAGCCACGAACACACTCTAGGCAGAAATGTGTATATTGAAGCTGGCCCTGGAGAAAGAAGGCAATGGGATTTATTGGCCTTTTTGCTCTTACTGTCATTCAACTGAAACTTTTAAAATCAATACTTTCCTAGATGATGCTTCAAAAAATACTGAAATGAATTTAAAGTGTTTACTTTGCTCTTGTCCTCCTGGCACCTTACATAAAAAGAAAACAAATAACCTACATCTGCAGGCTCCACATCCATGCATTCAATCAACTACAGAACAAAAATATTTGAAATAAAGTCATATCTGCATTGAACATTTACACTCTTTTTTCTTGTCATTATTCCCTAAGCAATATGGTATAACAACTATTAATACAGCATTTACATTGTATTAAGTACCGTAAGCTAACTAAAAATGATTTAAGGAAGATATGCAAAGGCTCTATGCAAATACTATGCCATTTGATAAAAGGGACTTGAGCATGGGCAATCCTGGAACCAATCCCCTGCAGATACCCAGGGACAACTTGTAATCAAACCCAGATAAGGGCATTTGGCATTCTTCCATTTCTGTCATTCAGACCCAGATGACAGATGGCAAATGTTACACATCACTAAAAAATATATGCCTTTTTCACATCCATATAGTTGAGAACATACATTAATACACTGAATTCATGGATATAAATTGAGTAGAATCTATCACCTCCAATTGCTTGTAAAGTCAGTCAAGAGAGTAAAGAGAAGGGAAAGAATTTGACCAAATCAATCAACAAGTCCAATGTGAGGCCAGCTTCTGTGTTTCTTCCTTGACCCAAAGGCTTAAAACATAGTCCACGACTCCCGAGTGCCCACGTGTCCTCAAGAGTGTTCTTCAAGTGGCCAAAAACACTGAGCAGGTTTGGGGTGGTGGTGGACTTATGTTTTATTTTGTTTTGTTTTGTTGGTAATGAAGACTGAATCCAGGGCCTCGTGCATGCTAGGCAAACACTCTACCACTGAGCTGCACTCCCGGCCCCCAGGTTTTCAACAAAATATTTCACTGGACAAACTTTTACTATGCAAGTTGAAACAGAGGAAAGCAAAAAAGAAAATCAATGCATCAGAGAAAGCCAAAAATGATGTGCAAACAGCTAACCAGGACTTACAGGGACAAAAATGAATTACAGAAAGTGAGCAGTTATCCATAGCTCCACTCACAGTGTACTGCTTCCACTTAGGGATGGCCCCGAGAAACTCACCCTTTCAGGGGCATGGGGATGCAGAGCAGAGAGCCCACCCTCCACCCCGGCCACATGTAAACCCAGAAGGGCCTCCTGGGGCAACACAACCACCTCCTGCACAAGAAAGAATGGGCTGAGCGTGATTATTTCTCCCTCATCTCTATTAAAACCCATGAAATAAAAAAAGTGTGCTGAAGCCATAGTGGCTATTTTAGTCTTTACTTCCATCTGCATAATAAATAGTCTCCTTGCAGGCAAGATTATTCCTGGCTAAAAAGGGCTGGTTTTAGTTTACTGTAATTTAAGGAAATTTTCTAAACAAATTTTGTTGCATTCATTTTTTTCATTAATAAAAGGACCAAAGTATGGCACTGGCTTTCATTTCCACAAAGGACAAGAAAAAAAAATTAATTCAAATAAAGCTTTTTGTTTGTTTGTTTGTTTAAGCAGGAAATCTATCACCTGATAACTATTACAATGTTTATTTTTTAAGTGAAGAAGAATTCTTGCTCCCTTTGGAGCCATGAGTTAGGCACTCGTTGGTATTGCTTTTGCTTATAAGCACACCTCTACTAGCACAATGGTCTTTCCTGGGTCAGAAACAGATCCATGGTAACCTCCTGCTGGTTTACACAGTGGAGGAAAAACAGGCTTTGGAGTCAGAAGCCTGTTCACAACCCAGCTTCATCCCTCACTCACTGGAGGACATTTGTAATGGCTTATGTCACCTCTAAGTCTTAGTAGCCTCATATTTAAAGTAGGATTAGAGCAGGTTGGGCATCCCTGATCCAAAAATCCAAAACGCTCTGAGTTCCAAAACTTTTAGGATATCAAGTCATTACTCAAAATGTTTTAGATTTCAGAGTATCCAATTTTGAATTTTTTGATTAAAGATACTCAATGGGTAAAAATCTTGGCAAATATCCCAAAATTCATTAAAAAAAAAAAAAACCTATGAAATCTGAAACACTTCTGGTTCTAAGTATTTCAGATAAGGGATACATAATTGACACAGGGTTGTGACAAAGATGCAATCAGAAAACAGTGCTGAGCATAAAGAAAGCCCTCCATGAACAATGGTGTTGATACAACATTACATCATACCTCTTAGGAACAAACCTAGAAAACAGCTTGTGTGATTTCTCCAGTTAAATGCATGGGCAAGAAGGCCGAGATGTGAGGTGATTTGCCCTGGTCTATGCCACAGTATCATGTCATTATGATAATGAAGTCACTAGAGCAAGAAGTTTCCAGGAGCCCTACTTCAGCCACTGCACTGGATCCTTTTCATTTTTCACATCTCACTGAATAAGCCCTGTGGTTCCCATAGCCCCTCTCATTCATGAGATTCAGGATGCTGTTTCCCCAGGGGTAGTCATTAGGGAGGGTGGCACAGGGCTAGCATTCACAGGCCATGTTCGGGAATGGGGTACTACAACTCTTCTTATATGTGCTCTCTTTTGTCTATACTCCAAAATGCAATTTTAAAAAATACTATTCATTTTGCAGGAGGAAGGACTAAGAAGCAGGCGGGGGCGGGTTGGGGGGAGCATGAGCAAAATTCTACTGTGACAGAAGTATCAACCTCTAAAACTGGAACACAAGTGTGTTCTCAGTGCTTAAAAAAAGATTCTCATTGTATCTTTTTTTTTTTTAAAGAATATGAAAAACTCCTTTTAAAAAAAGGCAAGTAATCTAAGAAATGGAACTAACCTTTTCACTGCTCTGTTACCATAGCTCTAGTTTCTTAGCAGGCTATTTTAGCATCATTTATACACACATAATATAACTTTCTAGGCAACCCAGAAAATAAAATGAATTATTTGATTATAAAACAATATAATCTACAGCCAGCATTTTTCACGATGGTTAGGAGTTCAATGGTCTTATTCACAGGAGGATTGTATAACTTCTGTTAAGTGAGATTATGCTGACATTACATTGTAAAACCACTGATACATTTCAGCTTCTGAAATTATACCAACTATGTCACTCTGGTAAGCTTGCATACCCTGAAAATTAAAATTATCATTAAAAGTTAAAGACTGTGTTACTTTCCTGTACCATGCATGGATTTTAAATAGTTTCTTCCTCTTAGTTGAGACTATGTCATTATGTGATTCTTATTTTAGACAGAGTAGCAAGATTTACAAAATTAATCTCTTACAATCACACTTCAGTACTAAGTGATGAAATCCTTACCTGAGGTGAATATGTTTAAAGCTATCCTTCTATTCCAAAATAATTTTTTAATTAAAAATAAATAGATAAAACTGGGGATGTAACTCAGTGGTACAGCACTTGCCCAGCATACACAAGTCCTTGGGTTCAATACCGAAAACCACAAAAAAAATAATAACAATATTAATTAATAATAAGTAGATGAATGCAAATTGGAACAGCAAAAATTGTATTAACCTATATTCTTATATATGTGGAGGGAGTGTCTGCCTTCAAATAAACTATACACTTTAGAATTATAGAATTCAGATGTTTTAAAACTCACCATATGTTTTCAATGCAGACAGTTTATAGAGTATTCCACTATAAAGTGATCAATTCTTGTTTTATTGTATTTCCATGTTTTAAAATTTTTTTAGATTATTTAACTATAGCTGTTTATGGCATACCTATCTTTGAACTGTTGGATTATATCACTAGGATTGGGTGGAGAATGTGGATTTAATTCAAAAGTCTACTAAAGCTCATGCTTTGGAACAAAATCTGGTGAATGTTAGCAACTATGGAAACCTCTTTTCATTTTATATCATCAAATTCAGAGCAGTGGGAAAAACTGAAATTAAAACTTCAAAACTGTTACCATTCCTGTTAACACCAAAGT